ACAAAAACCTTAGAATCACACCTATACTACAAACTACAAGCTACTACACACAGTATACTACAAAGTAACAGTCTTAAATACATGCAGGAGTGCCATACCTGGACTGCAGAAACTCTGCCTGTAAAGGAGTTGCAGGAAACCACTGAACTGTATGTTCAGGAAGAACACAGCATGGTCATTATGTGTTGTGCTTAGATCGACCTCTTTAGGAAGTACATAGAAGCAGTTTAAAGATAAAATCAATGGTGTGCGTGTGTAGTCTTGTAGTTTTACTGTGTGCCAGCATTACATTTCATATGCTACATTATTACTATAATACATAATTGTACTGTATATTACGATGCGGAGTTAGGTGGGGGCAAATGAGTAAATAGAACTCTTTTCTATGTCCTCTTCCTTCAATCTGTAACCTTCTATGCAGGCCTCTTACAACAGCTCATCCTGTGTTGCATGTGGAACAGAACATTTCCTAATAGAGGTATATAGGAAATCACACTGGGAGGGGGAGCAGGAAGCCTACTTGTATTAATGTATGGGTGAGACGGGAGAACTGGGGTGGTTTTAAGGCTTACGTATACTTGTAGCCATCACTACAGCCCTTCTAAAAAGCAGTCTGTGGGGGATTACTTTCCAAAGGCAATGGGGGTTATTTACTAAAACTAAAGCTTGCAAAATCTGGTGCAACTTGGCATAGAAACCAATCAGTTTCCAGGTTTTATTGCCAAAGCCTAATTGAACAAGCTGAAGTTAGAAGCTGATTGGCTAGCATGCACATTTGCACCATATTCTGAGTGCACCAGTTTTGCTGCCTTTCCTCTGTCCACCCATGTAAACTCAGGAACAGTACAGTTTGTAAGGTTGGTAAAATACTGAATACCTTCGCTGCCACTGTGCAATTGCTTGTTTTCCAGTGCATCTCTGTACCTTTAAGGAGGGGTGGGCTCAATCCAGGTATACTTGGCCTTAACCACTTCCCGACCGGCCGTTGCATATAAACGGCCGGACGGTGGCACTGCAGGGTCGGGTGGCCGTTTATAAATGGCCTCCCCCGCACCCTGCTTGTGTGCGCGCTCCCTGGGAGCGCGCAGCACCGCGATCCGGTGCCCGCTGTGTCCTCCGGACACAGTGGAACACCGATCGTTGGACGGGACCTCTGTACGAGGTCCCGATCATGTGATCACTGATTGGCCAATCAGTGATCACATGCAAAGTAGTAAGCAAGATGTCACTTGTGACATCATTGCTTACTACGTGTGAAATCTGTGAATGATCACAGAGGTCACATGGTACAAGGCTATTCACAACAGCCTTGTACCATGTGACAAGCTGTGACCAATCACAGCTCACTCAGTGCTTCTCAATGAGTGCAGGAATGCACACAGAGAGAAAGAGAAATGATTGCTTTTACATCCTATATGGGTGTAAAAGCAATCATTGTAAAAAAAAAAAAAAAAAAATCTTCATCACCCCCCACAAGTAGTACAGTGTCACCATGGTGACACTGTACTGCTAGGGTGACAGTATGTAAAAAAAAAAAATAAATAAAAAAATAATAATATAAAAAAATAAAATAAAAATGTAAAAAAAAAATGTTTAAAAATTATAATTTTTGGTTATAAACTAATTTTTTTTTTTTTTACTAAAAAGATAACAGAATACATTTTGGCAAAGATTTATGATGAAATATTATTTATTTGCGAAATTTTATTAAAAAAACACTTTTGTTCAAAATGTTTGGACTTTTTCATTTACATAGCAAAAAAAATAAAAATCCCAGCAGTGAATAAATACCACCAAAATAAATCTTTATCTGTCTCAAAAAAATGGTAAAAAATTAATTTGGGTACAGTGTTGCATGACCGCGCGCAATTGTCATTCAAAGTGTGATAGCGCTGAAAGCTGAAAATTGCCCTGGTCAGGAAGGGGGTAAAAGTGTCCGGTCTGGAAGTGGTTAAGCTATCCATTGTTTTACATGTGCTCCAACTCGAAAAACTCTCAAAATGAGAGAGTTAGGACACTGGGGTGCCGTGCCCTTACCAATACAGCTTATGCATATATTTGCAAATGTGTGAAAATGAAAACCCTTGTTTTTAACATTAACTGTCGGGCAGGTTAATACAGTTTGTTGCACATTGGCTGGCAAAAGCTGGAAAATTTGGTTTGTTGTTTTTTGACATGTAAACTCAGGAGCCTGTGCGTATACAATGTCTGCCACATTAAGCTCTACTAGAGTGGCACCCTCCAAGATAAGTTGCTAGGATGCTAGGTAAATTTAGTTTTTTTTTGGCTCATTGGAGCAACTATTGCTTTTGACTGTTCTGGACCTCACAGGATACAGATTTGATTGTTTCCCCCTGCATTCTAGAGGCTTCTAGGACATAGAGAGTGGGAAAGTCAAATGAACAGCTTGGATATTTATTATACTTTGGCCAAACCCTGGGGATGTGTGCCCAGTAGGTAGCTGAAGGGGCTGATACATAGTCTGAGCTTTAGAACAGCAGGGTCTTCACATTGAAGGGATTCCACCCATTTGGGTAGGGGTGGCTACCCTTTCCCCCAGCAGTTCTACTAATTCAAGCTGATGTTCATTGAGGTCTCAGCTGTGGATCCAATCTGCACAGCCTCACTGGAAGGTATCTGGAGGAAGCTGCATGGTCACAGCTGCTCCCCTTGTGAGCACTGACTTTATTACAAGATCCTGGTGACTGTGTACTATTGGGATAGCTGGGTCAAGAAGTTCCTTTCCTGAATGGTCCTTATCTCTGCCCTTCCTTTGTCTCTAGTGTGCGAGAACTCTAGTCATCATCAATGTTGAAGACATCAAAAAGAAGAGTGTCCTCTATCTACTGTGTTTAATTGTTTTAGAGTATCTCGCACTCCTTTACTCTCTCCACAGTACAAGTTCTATAAGCATTACATTTCAAAAAGACAACCCTTAGATTTTTTAATGAGCCAGAGTGAATAGACTGTTGATGTGTGCCTGGCTGCCTCTATGCTGTAATGGAGAAGAACCAGTTAAACTCAACGGCTCCTGCGGGGGTAAGAGCTATACCAGTACACTAACCAAGCCTCAAACCAGTCCTGTAATGCTGATGCGCTAACCTAATGAAAATTGGAAACCTATTAAACAGGAAGCACAGTATTTTTTTCCTTTTATCTATAGTCTTGGTTTGAAAATAAATGTGTTTAATGGCTCATTCAGATTTATTTATTTTATTTTTATTTATTTCAGGTACTTATATAGTACCGTCAATTTACGCAGAGCTTTACATATATGTTGGTCATTAACATCAGTCCCTAACCCTCAAGGGTATACAGTCTAAGGTCCCTAACTTACATTCATATACTAGGGCCAATTTAGACAGGATCCAATAACCTACCAGCCTGTCTTTGGAGTGTGTGAGGAAACCAGAGTACCCGGAGGAAACCCACGCAGGCACAGTGAGAACATGCAAAACTCCAGGCAGAAGGTGCTGTGGTTGAGATTTGAACCAACAACCCTAGCACTGCCAGGTGAAAGTGCTAACCATTTAGCCACTGTGCTAGAGGGCACTGATTCCCCCCCCCCCCCCCCCCCCCCCACGTCCTTCATGCAGATCCAAATGCATACCTTTGTGTGTTTTGATCCATGCACCTGCTCCTGCATGTCAGATTTTGACTTGTGACTGTGTCCGTGCAGCCGCTGAGCCTGCATCCACTTCTATGGGCTGCCTGCTTGTGGCTGTAAGGTGGATGCTGACACAGCATAAAGTGGCTCTGCATGGAGCCCTCAGTAATATTCACCCCTTCAGTTCTGTTCCCCACTCCCTCCTCCATCCTGCATTGGCAGTCTCTGCCAGGTTAAATGATGTCCAGCACCCTTCAACCCTCTTCCTAAGAGCTTAGACTGTCATGGACTCACCCCATGGGGATGCATAATCATGCATCCTGAGCTAACAGTTCTCCTAGTGACACTTACGTGATGATGGGAGAGTAATGCTCAATCGGACTGATCACCTACTGGAACCACTGAGAAAGAATAAAAAAAAGACTTTAGGAAAAGTGTGTGTGTCTGTGAGAAGATAGCTAAAGCTGGAGTTTTGCTTTAAATCTGCAGTTGCACCAAGACATCGCATGCTGAAGCCATACGAGCTCAGTAAATCCATAGGCAGCACAGTGGCTAAGTGGTTATCATTTCTGCCTGGCAGCACCAGGGTTGTTGGTTTGAATCCCAACCACGGCACTACCTGCCTGGAGTTTGCATATTCTCCCTGTACTGATGTGGGTTTTCTCCCACACTCCAAGGACATGCTGGTAGGTTAATTGGCTCCTGCCTGAATGGGCCCTACAATAAATGTGAGTTGGAGACCTTAGATTATATGCCCCTTGAGGGTTAGGGACAGATGTGAACATATATAGCACCATCAATTAGCACAGCACTTTATATATATTATAAGTACAGCATGTGCACATATAGTCTAGCCACCCAAATTACTAGAAAGGTGTTAATGTTTATTGTACATGTTTGCCTGAAGGCATAGGTAATGTGGCTAGCACTTCTGCCTAGCAGCATTAGGGTCATTGGTTCAAATCCCAGCCAAATCACTACCACACTTCAAAGGCATGCCGGTAGGTTAACTGGCTCCAGTCTAAATCGGTGAATGAATGTGACTTAAGCTGGCCATATATGATTTAAATCTCGTCCAGTTCCTGCTGAACCACATGAGATAGGTTGATTAATAAACTTGGGTACAACCAGCCTGCTGGATTTTACATGTGATTATTGCTAGTGGCTGTTATAGCCGCTAGCAATAATCACTGTGTTATCCCTGTGGGGACGGCTATCCTCGCTGGGAGAACACAATGGCTCTGTGAGAGGGATTTCTCTTTCAACACTGTCTGTGTTAATGGGGCTATTGTGGTTTCAGGAAATTTGCTCCATCTATGGCCAGCCTTAGGGAGCTTAGATTGTAAGAATTTTAATAATTAAAAATTTACAAACAAACAGCATAATAAAAACATATTTACATAAATACCAAATAAAAAAAAAAAAAAAAAAAAATATATATATAAACAAAAATAGCTTACTTCAGCATAGAAAACAGGAAACAGCTTTTTTGCCAATAATATCATAAGCAGAACTAAATATACAAATCAAAACATATTTAGTATTGTTATTATCATTGTAATGCACCTCAAACCCTATCTTCTAGCTAAACACACCCTCAGGCTAAGAAACGATTAAATGTTGAACCCATACATACAGCCTTTTTTCAAAAGTTTGATCTTATAAAATTCTAGGGGACACGAAAGGACAGAAAGGAAAGCTGTAACACCCAGAGCCTGACTGACAGCAACTACGGGGACCTGACATTCCTCCTAGCCTTTGTCCTGGCTCCCACCTATCCTTCTCAAGACCTTGAATCTTCCCAATCTCACCCAGAATGTTGTGCTTCACAACCTCAACAGGAAGGACATTTTTTGCCAATGGAAACCTGGCGGACTACTAAGCTAACTAGAAAAAGTGTCTCAAAATCAAAATCCCAGTGAGTTTAAAAGGCTCTCTAAGACCACTCTGCGTAACTCAAGCGGAAAAGGAAAGGGATACCCAGAGCCCAACCCACCTGCTTATAAACTTCTATATTGAAGGAGCACTGAAGCAAGAAATGGTCCATTGTCTCCTCCACCCTACCACACTCCACTCTTGGATAACCACGGCTGCTCTCAGAGCGATGCTTCATGTTGCCCTTCACATATAGTAGGCCATGGAATGAGAGCCAGGCCAAATCCCAAAACTTTAAAGGGATTCTCTCCAGATTAATCAAACACAGACCCTCCCTCATAACAAGGCCTGGGCAATCCCTCAATGCCAGTGGCTCACTAAAGGCAGATTCAACCACCCTCCTCTCCGCGGTCACTCACCACTGCTGAAGCATTTTCAGGCATGACGCAACATAAGCCAGGAGCTTACCATGTTGAACCCTCAGTCTTTTCACTGGGACACTATTTTCCCAGCTCCGTAGAAAAGACCTAAACCAGGACTGAAAAATACCAACCCACCCAGGCAGTTCCTCTGCCAGCATACTACCAGAATTATGTTTCAAAAACATGAGAAAAGAAAACCAACGGGTGACCATACCTAGGCCACCCATCCACCTGGGAAGGTAGGTCACAAACCTCTTAATGAGGTTCAGTCTGTTCCCCTATAACTGCTGGAAAAAACAGCTGTAGATCTTTGCATAGAAAGACACTGGCAAAACACAGACAAAGCTGCCATACAGAAATACCGGGATGAGGTAAGTTTTAATCAGGTCAATACTTTCCCTTTAAGAAAGTTTCCAGCTGGCAACCTTGGCATCGGCATCTTATACCCAGCTTACCAAATTTGTAAGACTGTAATCGCAACTACCAAGTCTGATACCTCAAACTTTAATTTCTTGTTGGGGCTCTGGGAAGGCATCTGGTAGCTCAACGCCTCCACCTTCCTCTCCCTTCCAGAAGACCTCACTCTTATCCTGATTGATCTTTGAGCCAGATGCCTCAGCATACTGTTCTATCACCAAGACCACTTCCCGCATCCCAGAGATGAAAACAGACACATCATCAGCATAGGCCATGACCCTCAGAGGAGACTCACCAAAAATACCCAAAGACACTCTCTGCACAATGGTCCGCTCTCTAGCCTCCGGATGAAGGGATCGATTGTGAACGCGTATAGCTGAGGACTCAAAGGACACCCCTGATGCACACCCAAGCCAACCTCAAAGGGCCATCTGATCCAACCAGAAGCATGAAGCTTCCCCCCCCCCCCTGTATAAAGTCTTCAGCCAATCAATAAGGACCCCCCTCCAGGCCATACTTGTCAAGAAGGAGCCATAGGTACTCATGACTGACCCGATCAAAAGCTTTAGTCTGATCCAATGCCAGCAGGAACTTTCCCAAGCCTGCAGCCCTGCACCATTCCAGGGCTTCCTGGACAACGAATACTGAAAAAGTTCATCTACCCTGAACCGAACAGTGCTGATGGCGAGACAGTAAATTGCCTGCGACAGACGATAAATGGGAACAAAAATATATATTTGCCAGTATCTGTACCTGACCTGCAAATATACTGTTGATTACTAGTATGGGAGAGGAGTTTTCTATTGTCAAGTAACTGCTGCAATTTTTGCAATGTTTTTGCATTTTCATGCAGTTACCAATAGTTTTTTTTTTCAAGGCGACTATATATATAGTATATATATATATTTTTTTCTTTTTTTGGATTTTTTTTCCACCTTTTCTCATTTTTAAGTTTTTTTGTATGAATACAGATTCATTGTTGTTTACCAACCTAAAGTGAAATATGTAAAGTAAAAGTCGTAGTTGGAGGAGCATTAAATTTTTTTTTATTTTTATATCATTTTGTTTGTTTTTGATTTTATTATTTTTTCCTCTCCTTGTTTAATATTCCATTAGCATATAACTTTTTAGATAAATGAGCTGTAAATTATAAGGCTGTGGCATTCGTGCCCAACTCAGCTTCAAGAGTCCGACGGGGATCCACATGCTTATAATTGCTTCCTGCAGACATCCCTCAATCTGCCTATGGCTTCAACCCGAGCCCTGTGAGTGGGTGGGGAAAACCAAGGGACTGAGACCTGACAATAGCATGCAGCATCCGCCATCCCCACCTTCAGGGGCCCTGGTAAATACCGGCTGTTGCTCAGACTCTGCATCCTGTGGGGATCCCACTTTACTTGCCCACATTAAGACCCCTATGCTTAACAATCTTAAAGGCCAAACAGCTGCTTCACGCTTGATTTCCCCCCAATAACATTCTCCTTCTTTTTTTTTTTTTTGTATCCATGTATGATTGTCTGGAGGCCTGCCCTACCACCACCTGAAGAAACAACAACCACCACGTCATGTCTTGAGACAAAGGTGCAAAAGCTAGACCTTCCTCAACTATCTTTCACCATGCTGAATAGTGCCATTTCGCGGTCTGATCCAATCTTTTTAAACATCGTACAGTGTTCCCAAGCTACGGGACTAAAGATACCAGGATCCCGCCAACGATGTTGGAGTTCCATCCTTCCAAGGCAGAGGGGCGAGGAAACATCGCAGCACAGGCATTCATGGTCCGAATGTGAGGTCTCGGAGGCACCAGGACTTTTTTGGGGGGGTTGGGCCTTCTGGGTGGTCATAGGTGGGTACAAAATCATTGAGGGAGGGTATAAGTTCACCAATGAACTTCAGGGGGAAATGTGATAGATATTTTGGGCCTACAATAATTTTTAATATTATTGTGTACTTCTGATAGGGGTCTCAATTCCTGTACCTTATTTACCATTTGTTGCATCACCTCAACACCCCCCTTAGGTTTCCTGTAGAGGTTTATGACAGTAAGGCCATCTGGCTGAATAAGCCCTGGAGCCGTCATTTCTAACACCTCGTAGGGAGTAACTGGCTGCAAAGGAGGTGTGCTTCCTGGACATTGGCCCATCCTAAATTCCATATGATGAACTACAGTTGGCCAATGTCTTTCACAAATCACAGAGCCCCCCTTTGAACAGAAATGGCAAAATACTGGAACCTATTGAAGGGTGGGACTACCTGGAAGGGAGGGAGAGGGTGTATAAAGTTCTGCCTCTTTGTCCTTTTGTCCCTTCCGGATCCCAGACCTCAGAACATCAGGATATCTGTTTAATGTATCAGCTTTGCTCTATTTCTTTTCTCTAACTTTCTTTCCTATAGTCATCTCTCTATACTGATAATATACTGTATGTTATACTGTATCAATAATTTTTTTGTAATATATCTTTTGTTTGATTTGATTAGTAACTACTTTTCTTCTGTGTAAATAAATTAGATCTTTATTTTTGCACAGTTGTTTTCATTTGGTATTAACATTATTGGTATTAGCCACATCAGGATTGGCTAAATTCATGTATAGACAAAAGGTTGTAATCACTTATTACATTTATAATCTTAGATAGAACCAAGTAAATACGTGCGGTAGCAAAACACTTCCTATCAACATTGAGAAGGCTAATGGCCCACCAATTCTCAATTATCAAGGAGTCTTTACCCTTTGACAGAAGATTCACTGCAGATTGTCGTATGGAGGGAGAGAGCAAACCCTCTCTCAGACAGCCATTAAAAACCTGCACCAAATATGAGGCCAGAGTAACCTTAAAGTGTTTATAAAACTCGGCTGTCAATCTGTCTGGCCCAGGCGACTTCTTAATGGCAAACCTATCAATAGCTTTAACCACCTCATCTGCTGTGAAGTCCTCTGTCAAACTCACAAGAGAACTGCCAGTTCCCAGTCCTGGAGTAGAATCCAGAAAACTTGACATGCTTGCTTGATCGAGGTCCCTCCTACCCTGGAGGTCAGCATATTATGACCTGGCGGTTTCCAGGACTTGAACTTTGTCAGGGAACCCATACTGTCAACCAGGTGTACAACTGACTTAACTCTACCTTGTTTGCAATTCTGATAATGGTTGGGTGAGTGATGTATCCCATAATCCCTTTCCAGAACCAAAGAGGCATGCCTGTCATATTGACACTTCCTGAGCAAGTGTTTAGCCTCAGAGATCATCCCCTTGATCTATTCAAGACAAGCCTATCAAGCTTCCTTGCAGATGCTGGTAGGTGACATACTTGTCAAACTGTTATTTCTTCCTATGGCCTTGAAAAACCCAACGATCCTTTGTTTTGTAAGCTTCTACCACTCTGACTTACTGCTGCAAAATCCATGATCAATACCTGTGCCTGAAAAAAATCCTCAAAGGATTGACTCACCTTCTCATCATGCAGGAGCACCAAATTCAGCTTCCAGGTACCACTCCCCCTAGGCAGTGTATCGGGCCACTCAGAGTCACAGACAGAATACAGTGATCAGAAAACTCCACCGCCTGACACACTGGGCCGAGAAGGCAAAGTTCTTTAAAAAAAAACCCTATCTATTCTACTCTGACTACTCCCTTGCTGAAAGGTGAACCCCGTGTCATCTGGGCAGCAATGAATGTGCACATCAACCAGACATGCCTCTCTAGCTATTTTGTTAAAAAAAAAAAACAATGACAGTCCAGCCTGGCTGCTGTACCTGTCCTGTCCTACTGATGGTTTTAAAATCACCACCGA